TCTCCACTGCCCCCTGGTCATCAGAATTGATGCTACCATTTCCACCATGCCACCACCCTGCTAGTCTCCTTGCCTCCCACGACACTGCCTGGGAAGCCCGCCGTTGTTCGACTGTTACCATGCAACAAACCTTGGAAATAACCCCTTCCAGGTAGCCTGTCCACGGTTGAGCATGGCCTGAAAGTGGACCAGTCCAGCGCACCGTTCTGCCCCTCCACGGCTCTGGCACGCCGTAGGTACTCCAGGCCAGCTCGACAATCGACCACCACGGCTGCCAACGACGCTGCTTCTAATGGGGGACCATGCTCTCGGGAAATGTGTTACTGAGTCCTCCTAAAAACCACATGCCAGAAAACACCGCACATCGGCCAGAAGCAAGACACCATCGACGACACCACCTACCTACCTCGGGAAACGGCCATTCAGAGAGACTGACAGCCAGCTCATCACAGAACAAGCGCTTGTACTGACAATCTCAGCCTTCTCAGGCCAATGTCTCGGCTTTTGAATGCTACACAGCAATAACTCCCGGCATCCCACGCTTCCCCGGAGCGCCCTTGCTCACACTCCCGACTTCAGGATGTTCATGATCTTCCGCCACGTCAACCTCGATCGACTTTCCTCCCCATCGGCTCACCCATCACCCACCATCCTAACAATCGATCCACCCACTCACCACCTCGCGCTTCCTCGCCAGTCTCTCCATTGCTCCAAACCTTCGTCTCATGCTACCATCAAAGGCAATACGTGCCGCCAATCTAGTTCCCCATGCGCCACCACCTCCTCCTCCAGAATCCTAGCTGGGTCCCTCCCACCACGGCGGACGTGCCAACGTTGCTCTGCGGGGGCCCTCCCCTGACCGTTGGGTATTCCGTCACGCTGTGCTACCAGCCTAGCAATGCTTCACCCCCAAATCCGCAAAAATACTGGCTTCTCTTTTTTCTTCGAACGACATTGGGTTCAAAACCTCGAGGTAAGACTCCAAGTTACCTAACATACAACCCGGTCGCCTCATCTGGGGGAACATGGATGACGACAGGTTCCTCATCTTGCTAGGTCGACGCTGCCGATATTGTTTGGGTCAAATTGGCACTCCACAAACTCGCCCTTTGACCGACAAACACAGCTTCCATTCATTTCATTCCGTTCGGATATTCCGCCCGGACTTAGCGTTAGGAGATGCCACGCCTCTGGGGCCATATCCCGTATTCCGCCTGAGAGTCTTGGCCAATGGCGGTGACCCAATTTCAGATCGACCAACTTGAAGAAGATCGGGCCAGAGTATATGACGCCGGAGGCAAGCGGACCCTTTTACTGCGTACTCCGTGGATTAATGGCTTTTTCTGCTCGCTGCTGGGCTCGAATACTCATCAGAAAAACACAGGCCGCCATGCCTTACTTTGCCCCGCGAATCAAACGCTGTATGCACTTGTGACTCTACTTCGGATGCATTCCGAACGCCATTCAGCGCTGCATTTACTCTACTCAAGGCGCCTAGATAGTTTATTTCGGGTAGACACCCGAAACTTGTACGCAGTGCTACGGTCTACCAGACACGGCGGTGGACGGTCAAACTTCTTCCGCACATCCCGGACAGCAACGTCCTATGGTTTACTTGGCCTCTCTAGCGAATCCCTTTCCGTTCAAGCGTCGCTTGCGGAATACTGTGTGTAAGAGAATTTTGACACAAAAACCCAGCGCCTCGGCCAAATCCAGCAGCAGAGATGCACCCCACACATTCCATGCGGGCCGAGCAGGGGCTACCCAGTCATTTTTTACCCTCTCGAAACGGAGTCGTTGAAAGGTTAATGTCATCAACGAGCAAGCTTTGAGCTTGCACCAATCAGCGGCTTGTATTTCAAAGAAGTCCTTGGCCGAAGTCGCCTCGGATCTTGGGGCCCCTGATAAACCGCAGGATGCCCCCAAGGAATTGGACCCGGACCCTTCTTGGACAAGGGATACTCCAGCATCGATGCAAGTGATTGGGGGAGCAAGTTGGGGGAGGGGATGGTGTTGAACATCTGTTCCATTTCAAAGGCGCGCTTGCACATGCTGATGGGAGACTTGCTTGTTATTACATTGCTAGCGTGCAGAACCAGCATCTGTCAACCGGGCTGGCTTCAATGTCTCGCGGCCCTGCATGCGCTATCTGTCAATGCTGCACTACCAGTCAGGGCACTTCCAAAAGATGGTGATTCTTGAGATCAACCAAGCTACGTCAAAGACTCGATGTTGCGCAGATTCCGAGCTGTTTCCGAAATCCTATCACGAATGAGAGTGGTCGGTATATCTCTTGTTTGCCTATCAGCCCTCCGATCTACGGAACTTGGTGGTGTCCACGACCGGCTGGACGGCAGCGGCCGACGAAGGACCAGGGGCATCTGGCCTGCGACCTATGTCCTTACCTCAAGCGCTTGCGGCGGCATTGATCACGGATACCGATGGACGGACCGACTGACAAATGAACCCCCCAACACAAGATCCGCTCAGCAGAAGGACGCAGCTTGATTGCGGTCTGCTCCGCGAGAGCGATGTTCCAGGCGTGATGCACGTCGCAACTGCAAGCAATACAGGCTTTACGGGAAGGCTAACCAATGGCGGGCAGCACCGAGCACATGCAGACAGGGAGCGGCGTAACAGCAAAGAGATGAGATGGCAACAATGTTCCGTTGCTGTACAGAATGGCACTCGAAAAGGCAACTAGTCACCCTCTTCTCCGGCATATCATCAACTGGCGAGTTGGGCGTCTGACTGCATTGCAGCATCGACAGTTGTTGCCCAACTCGAAAAGGGTTGCTGTCAAAAAATCGACAACTTGAAATTGGAGAAGCCGGCCAATCACAACCAGAGCCTCATCTTCAACCGTCTTATCTTGAGCCAACCATGATGGCCGCTTGCTGCATCTGCATCTGAGCTATAGCAGGCCAGGTATGCCCCTAGTCGGCACATCCATGCCAAATGCGACCCCGCCGACCGGAGGCGTTCGAGATCTCATAGTTCCTTGCTCAGCACGACCCTGTCTGTGTCCACGCACAGACGTTCGTGGTTTCTTGGCTTCTAGAGCTGGAGGGAGGGGGAGAAAAGGAGTAAGGAGGGGGGCCATCTCCGACGGGATTCCAACGTCCCAGGTAGCCTAATGTGAAGCGGCACAGACATGCCAGCCACATAAGACACACCATCCGCACTCGGTGATGAACCGCTTGGGAACGACGCATGCATGGGCTACGTCACAAATGTCACCGAAGTGCACAAAAAGATGCTTGTTCACACACGCAGGCAAGTACATACCACAAGTACTTTTTTTTGTCTCTGCGGTTTAAAGTTTGTGAGAAAAGCTGGTCGTTCCGGGACTGACTTAGGGTTTCGCAGGTTAGCCTGTCGACCAGCACGTGTCTGCATCCTTGATCTGGATGGACAGAAAATACATATGACCTGGAAGCGGTTACGATCACCTATGCCTTCCTGGAGCAACCCTCCATCTCCGCATTTGAGTAACAATGACGCTTCAATATTATAGGAAGTCGTCTCATATTGGATCCATACGGTCGGCTAGAACACGGGGACGAATGAACAGCTCTGTGATTCTGGTCACAAATCAATTGTCCGGCTACAAATGTCAGTGACATATCAAGCCCCATACTCGGAGCATGTTTAGCGGGCTTCTGGTCAGCAACTTGAGCAACAGGAATTATAAATGTCTGGTCTGGCTTTGGGAATGGTTGCTACGCATCCATTCTTTCACGTCCTTGTGGAGTTTCGTCACGACACGAAGCGAAGCTCGGTGACGGGTCCGACATGGCATCTGCCATTTACCCATAACGCTAACCAAGCCCCCCCGAAGTCGGCTCAGCCGTTCACCCTAACTAGGGCCGGGCGGATGTAACCCCTGGCTGGCGTTCTGGGACCTATATCGGAGGTGGCCACGCCCAGACCCAATCCATACCGACTTGCAGGGGGTTGTCTTGCTTAGTTGCTCGGTATTTGGTCTAGGACAGAAGCGAAAAAATAAACGGGCAGAAGAGAGAGTCCACTTGAGTCAGCCCATGGCCGCCAGGAATTCCCACAAAGCGGAAATATGGCATTTGAAACCTCCACTTGCGCAGCCAATGCCAGCAACTCCGAAGTCAGCGCTGTTCCGACTTCTCCCGACGAGACACATCAGAGCGGCGCGGGGCGAATGCGCTGGTCCCTCATTTCCCCGTCGCTTTGCGAATCAATGGCAGACGAGAGTCGACGTAGAAGCGCAGAGAATGCAAAAAGACGGGAAACGAATTCAACACCCCTGTTTTTTCTTACCAAATGCAAACAGTAAACCCCCTTGGAAACGAGGAGACGTAGGCGCCTGAGGGCTGAGCCCACGCAGTTTGGATGAAACCTAGCAACCAAGGAGCGCAGGTTCAACGAGACCAGTCTGAGATTGATGCGAGGCAGGCCGTACAGCAATTCTGGCGGTGGGAACTGGGTCTAAGTCCCGACGGAGGGAAGCGTCATTCGGTCGAAGTGGCGGAGTCTCTCAATTGGGTTTGAGCAGATTTTTGATTTTCAAATGCTCTACTGTTGGCCTGACGGAGGAGGCATGGAGATGGCAAACTCCCAGGCACCCACACGTTACTTTGCGATGAAGCGATCGTGAGTGACTAAATCGTGGCACAGTGAAGACATGTCGTTGAATATATCGGGCAGTCGACCACATTTCTGCCGCCCGCAATGAAGCATCGTGACTTCTTCTTCGCAGGGATTAAGCGCGCTAGGCGCGGCGCGTCTGCCAATGTGGGGTAGACCCTTACCCCCCCGGCGAGTACGTACTGTCGAATTGTTTACTCTTTGCAACCTCGCGACAAGCAACTTGCAGCGGGGTCTTGTGCCATTTGCGACAGCTCTCGACAGCTTCGGAAACAGCTTCCATTCGACCGTCTCTGACATCAATACTTTAACGCTCGTCAAGTCATTGAAGCGCTCACAATCCTAAAGCATTGCCTAGCGGCATCTTGCGAGTCACAATGTTTGGCCTCCTACCAGACCTCACCCCACGAGACGTAAGCTCTCCTACCTCTATTGGCATCTCCAAGAGTATCCATCTCGTCTCCCATGCAACCATCTGACCCCCCAATCATCAATAGTCGCACTCGATCTGGTACACCTCCTCCCGCAACCCAATCACCCAAGCCGCCCTCCTCGAAGCCCACGAAAACAACAGCCAACATGGCTCCGCCCAACAGCAGCAGCAGCAGCAGCAACAACAACAACAGCAACAGCAACAAAACAGCTCCTCCTCCCGCCGCGCAGGCCAACTCCTCATCGAGCGGTCCGCGCTAGCGCGCCTCCGCGCCGACGAGCACACAATGGACCGCCGCAGGCTGCACGTGCAAAATTTCGGTAGCACGTGGCTGAAGCCGCCCGGCGTGCCCAAGACGCTGCACCAGATTCGCGAGGAGCGGCGGGAGCAGGAGGAGCACGCCGAGGCTATGAGGCGGGAGCAGCTCGCGCTGGAGCTCGCTGAGGCGGAGGCAGGCGGGCAGGATGATGATGGGGGTTTGGGAGTGCTTGGGGAAGGGGAGGATGGGGAGCAAGAGGAGGTGAGGGATCTGGATGATGAGATTCCGGATGCGGCGGAGGAGAGTTTTGGGTTTGATGGTGGGGAGGATAGCATGGCGGATGATTTGTCGTCGAGTGAGGGGCGGCCTCTATCTCTCGATGATAATGATGATGAGGAGACTGAGGAGGAGGAGGAGGAGGATGATGATGACGACGAAGACGACGACGCAACGGCCGTGGACGAGGATGAGTACGAGAGGCGTGACGGCCTCGTCGCGGCGAGGATGCGGATGGCGGACGACGCCTTCAGACAGGCCATGGCGCGGGGCGACGTCGACGGCGATGACATGTACGGCGCCGAAGAGGAGCTCGAGGCCTCGGGCCAGGGCCAGATGCTCGACGAGGAGGACCTGCTCGAGGACGGCTTTGCCGCTGAGGGCCTTGTCGATGACGATGACTTGGGTATGGGCGTCGACATGGACGCCGACCTGGACGACGAGATTCCCGAGGCCGAGGGGCTGAGCGGGGTGTATGAGCATACGGACTCCGAGGCTGAGGTGAGCGGCTTGACGAGTAGTGTTATCAGTAGTGGTGGGGAGGAGGAAGACGACGACGACGACAATGATGAGGAAGGGGATATTAGTTTTGCACCGAGGGCTGCGCCTTTGAGGGCCCCGTTGAGTCCTACCGGGGATCGGGGGAGGGGTAGCGCTGCTGCTGCTGCGCGGCATCATCATCATCATCATGTGTCGAGGAGTAGTTTGGATCTCAGCGGGTTGCTTTCTGCGGATGGGAGCAGTATGATGGACAGTAGTCCCAATATGAGGCCTCATAGGCGTTGAGGGGGGGTGTGAAGAATGGAAAGGGAAGGGAAGGCCAGAGGAAGATGGAATTATGATACCCCCCACCCGTTCCCATGTATTTTTTGAGAAGCATGGAGCGATAGACATGTCGACAAGCACAACATGCATATATCACCGTCCAGGACGTTTGGGCAGCCATCGCATACCACGAAGTTGCGAAAAATAGGGAGGCACGAGCACTAGAGATTTGGCGTCGAAGAGTTGTAGAAATACCAAGGTGTATGTATACACGGCCATTACAATTGCTTTTAATTTGTGTTCCAATACTTGACAAGTGAAAGAGAAATCGCACCATCTTCTCAACCTTCTCCTCGAATGTATGCAAATGGCATCGCCCCCTAAAGCAGAACCGAAACCATGCCTTTCTGCCGTTCTGCCACTATTCATTTCGTATCGGGACGTCCTCTCGTGATCGTTCGTCTCTTTCCTCGTATTCTTGATGCTTTGAAAAAAGTGGATAAAACCTTGTTCGGCCCCCTCGAGCCTCGAGGCCTCTCTCCTTCAACATGGATGGTTCCAGGCAAATAGAACTGTTCGGAAAAAACGCCTCCAACGCCGAGCATGCAAGAAAGAATGCTTTCCCAATGCAGAAGCGTCGCATCAAATGCTCCCCGTCCGCGTCCCCACCCGCTATTTGCGTCGAAGGTTGCCCGGCTCACTCGTCTCTTGCGTTGAAGCTGTCCCAGTGAAACAGCCCGACGACCATTTTCCCGCCGGGTTCGCGACATTATCTCAGTGACCACGCCCCGAATGCTTGCGACAGCAATATTCACTTTCGTGTCGTCAAGAAAGCCCAGCTGGATCAAAAGCTGTCGCTCCCATGATTCGGCAGTACCACACTCCATGTCGTAAGCTTTAACGATTGAATCGCGCGGCGTCGTTTTTCCCCCGCCTCCTGCTCCCCCTTCTCTCCTCGGCGGTCGTGATTGTGGTGGTCCGTCGATCGAGGCCCCGCTCTTAGAATAGCCAGACGTACATGAACAAGAAACACACGGCCGCGAAGAAGCCGAGCCAGACCTTCCAGCCGACGCCCGTCTTCTCCGCCATGACGAGCATACGGTTCATGGTCCCGCGGATGCGCAGGCGCGTCGAGTCGAAGCTGTCGTTCATCTTCTCCGCGAGGGCCGAGGAGTCGCGGATCTCGTCGCCAATCGCTACCGTCATCTGCGCGCCTCATTAGTTTAATTACTTGTTGTGCGTCTGGAGTGACATTGCATGGGAGATGGCGGTGATTGGAGGAGGAGATGTGAACTCACGCTCTTCAAGATCTTGACTTTGCCCATGATGCCCGCGACCTGCTCGTCATTCTGGCTCTCGAGCTCGTTGAGCACGGCGTCGCTGTACTGGCCCCTGATATGTCACATCCGTCAGTAAGTTGCCTCCAAGGTCAGAGAGCTTCTCCTCCGCTTCTCTAGTCGTCCCATCGCAGATGCCATCTCCCTAAACCTCGCAAATGGGACGCTCCAAAGGAGCTATAGGGGTGTCTCGTTCCGTACCGTTTATTCGGCGTCGCAGGCCGGAACCCCCGGTTCGCGTCGACACCGAGGTGGGTACCACCCATGGGCGGCGCAGGTGATGCGCTGCTGCCCGCGTACCCATATCCGTAACCGCCACCCAGTCTGGATGGCGAGGCGCTGACGGGTCGCCGGCCGTTGTCGCTGCTACCACCGCCAGTGTAGCCTTCGAAGAGGGCGCTGCGGGAGTCGCGCTGGTGCAGCGAGGAGGCGCCGAATCTGTGTGTTGAAATGGGTTAGCCCACTATTGACGAGTTTTCCCGGCTGCGAATGCCATGTATCGTGGCCCAAGAGGGTTTGTCGGTATGGTCTCGCTGGTGGTTCTGCTCGTCGGTCTTGTCGAGAGTCTATGATCGAGGGGTGCCTGCCGTCATCGCCACTTTGTTGTCCCCAAGACGGGACTCCTCCCCTTCCTCTCTTATTTTGGGTACCGCCTGGGGACACAAGAACGTCACAAGCCGTGGCAAACCATCCAGCGATTCCGAGCCGCATGCATTGTGTGTGTGCTGGTCATTCTGTCGAGTCCAGTGTACGCACCTTGAAGCCATGGTGTCCTAACCGTCGCGTCCTGTGTCGCGCGCGCACAGCTGCTGCCTCGAAGCAAAGGAAAAAGTATCGAGTTTTAGGTCGGCGTGTAGTACCGGGCGCCGTCCGCGACAGCACGTTGAATGATCTCGAATACTCGAAGAGTTGTCGTTTTGTTGAATAGGGGTGCAGGTGTTTTGGTGCTAATTAAACAATCCCGATAACAAGAAGCAACTTTTTTCCGCTGGCCCTTGTACTCCGTAACATAGATACCTTCTTGAACCCCTGGAAGTTGTGTTGTCATTCAGTGTCGGTCCGGTTAGGTTGGCAAGGTGTACTAGAACAGGGGTCTATGCTATGCGGGCAGGGTATTTGTAGGTATGTGTCGAATCTCGACCGGGCGATCTCTATTTTCTTCCCTATTAGCGGCTCAAGCACCCTCCTTTTGACTTTTGACGTCCGCTGTGGGTTATAGGTAGTCAAAGTAGCGAGGCGAGCTTGCTGGGATTCATGTGAGAGAAAGGGGAAACGAGAAGAGCCTGACACGCTGAAAGTTCGCGTAAAGTACCTCCAGCTTTATTTACAGTGAACAGCGGGGGAGAGGGGGGGAAGTCACGTCCCCTCGGTTTCCCGTCCACGTCAACTATTACTTTGCAACTCCGACAAATCCCATAGTTTCCCCAAAAAGCCCGTCCCGCTAACAGTCATTTGGGAACGTGTCGTCCCGCTATCCAATCGAAAACGGAGACGAACCTTGAAAGCACCGACCAAGGTATCAAAGGACACAAGGAGGTAGGTACCCTATAAAGTACAGTATGAAAGCGGGTGTCCCTTCCTGGGTCCGGCTCCGACTGGAAGTCTTACATTCGGTTCTGACAGCGGAAGGAATGGACGGACGGGCCTACACCAGGTAAGGTACCTTCCTAAGAGCTTATGAGCATCTTAGACACCCGGGTAGGTACTCACCTCATGTTAAGGTAGCCAGCCACCTTCAATCTGTACGCAGCTACTAGCCGCGCACTTGTGCTGGAGAACCTCACCTAATATCTAATTGTTTACTCGAGGAGAGACTGACAGGCCCTTGGCAATGTTTTGTTTACATTGACTGTACCTGTACCATGAAACCCCAACAGTACTTACGCGCAACTTGTCAAGGAAGTGCATGTTGCTCCAATGCCAGGTACTAATGTCACTCTGCTTCATGCACTGATCCACGATCGAGCTGGCAGGTGGATAAGCTCTTCCCGGACTAACAAGAATTTTGCTGCAAAACAAAAGTATGGGCGTCGCATGAACCTTTGCCACGCTCACAACATCGTTCACCACACAGGTAATAAGCATGCACAGGCATTTGGGACCGCTCATTGTCGCATAATCTTCATTTCCATGGCACTCGTAGTCAAGGTAGTGACATCGCGGGCTGAAACGGCCTGATAAAATAGAGAGCCATCCCGCCGAACCAATATCAGGCAGGGTGGGCAGAGCAGCAGCAGATCGACGTACGTCGCCGCTGCCGCCGCCGAAAAAAAGCTGCAATATCAACCAAGGCTCTCAGCCGCCAATGTCCAAACCCACCAATTCTCTTCATCGACGCAAGGGGCATGCAAATGATTATCAAAGCCCTCTTATAACTTTTGTGTAAACCATACACCGCCCCTCCTTTGCATTCCATTTTCTGTCGTGTGTATGTGTCGTGCCGTTTCCCAATAACCGTCATGGTTGGTGATGAACCATCACCACCACCACCGCAGCCGCCACCATGTCAAAGGTAAGCAGGCCGGGGGGTGTACGAAGGACGAAAAAAAGGAGAAAATTTTACTAGCTCCTTAGTCCTCATCCATCTTGGACTCATCGGCCGCGAAGTCATCGTCGTCCTCGTCATCCTCCTCCTCGGCGGGGTTCTCCTCGGCAGCCTTGGCGAAGTCAATGACACGGCCACGGGTGCGGCGACCGCCCTCGACAATGTTGTTCAGGTCAATCTCCTCCATGCCGTCCTCCTCGTCGACTGTGATTCGCAGGCATGTTAGTCCCAGGGAAATCGCAGGTGCGCGGTCAGATTTGTAGCAGCCGCGGGGGTTCGTTCTTACCAGCCTCGGCGGCCTCGGGGGCCTCCTCCTCATCACTGGAGTCCTCGTCCTCATCCATGGCGTCACTCTTCTCGACGGGCTCCTCAGCGGCGACAGCCTTGCCCTTGCCCTTGGTCTCCTCAGCGAGGCCCGCAGCGACGTTCTCGTTCTCGGCAGCCATTGTGTCTGTTTCGTGGATGTTGCGTGGTTCTGTCGAGTCTTTGCGCAAAGGGAGAGAGTGAAGAAAAACAGAAGTTGCTGTCGCAAAAAGTTGTGGTTGGATTGGGAAAGGTTGGGGGGGTGGGTTGTACGAAGGGAAGGTAGGTGGGAAAGGAAAGTGGAGGTGAAGCTTTGCGCAGGCAAATCGATGGATTTATCAGTTAGATCGTACCTTCCCCCTGGTCCTGGTCCCAGCTTTTAAGACTGCAGTGCCTGCGAGGAAGGAGTGCCTTCCGCGCAAGGCTTGTGTGGTGTGCAGGCGACAGGCGACAGGCTCCCACGCTCCGTCTCTGAGCAACGAGCGCTAGCCTCAGATTGGGCTAGAGCTGAATCGCCTGTCGTGCACGTGCCATGTCGAACCTGTTAGGTGCTGACCCTGTGAGCTCTCTCATCTAAAAGCTTCCAGTTCATTATGGAAAAATGCGAGGCTGCGAGACTTTGGGATAACAGCTTGTCATGTCCCGTCCCAAAAACGAGCTTTCCGTCTTAGAATGTAATTTAGCTAGATACTTCTCATAAGTGTCAAGACATAGCTCGAGTCTTATGAAGAGAAGCCACTAAGTATGCACTGGCTGTCAGATCAGTACCGGCCGGATCTTTGCCATGCGGCTGACTACTGTGATGTCTTCTGACGTTTACTCGATACTCGGGCAAGTGAGACATTCTTCTAGGCCAGGAACGTTCAGAACAATAGGCATTGCCTTGAAACTCTCCAAGGCCAGATGAGACAAGATACTGCCTCTTTTTCCGGTGGAAGCAGGATCATGGGCATCGACACGATGCCATCAAATGAGCAAGTACTTCGCGGATGAACGTGAAATAGTCTATTAGTGTATCATCATCGCCGTGAATTTCGTCTATTTTCCGTCTCCTCCTCCAGTAACAGTCATCAAAACGACAATCGCAATCAACCACCAGTACCTGAACAGTCGACGTTAGCAAATTCACCCAAAACCGAAGGGAACGGGAGCGAGGCAAGGGAACAGCAACATACTTTTGCCAAAACGGCTTCTCCTCCTGAACGACCTTGCGTCCCTCGGGACTCAGAACAACAGGCTTATTCAACTCGGGCGTCTTGCCCTGCCCCGCGACCCTCACAACAGCCTGCGGCCCAAAATCCCTCGTCGCGCCCGCGTCGACCCGCACGCCCTTGACCCCGGCACCCACGACCTCGCCCGAGGCGCCGTCGACGCTCAGCACAATGATGGGCTGGTACCCCTTGGCAAAGTTCTCCGTCGAGGCGACCGACACGCTCGAGGTCCACTGCGCCGTGGCGGCATCGTAGACGCCGACGCGGACGAGCTTCGTCGCAGCCGGGTAGTCGGCGAGCTCGGGTGCCTCGAAGGAGGTCACGCTCGCCTCGGCGGGCCGTTTCATGTCGTACTCGACCTCGGCGAGGAGGGTCGGCTTCTGGTTGGTAGCGAGGGAGACGGGTTCGATGTAGACCTTTGCGAGGCGGGTTTCGGCGGCGGCGAGGGTTGCTGCGAAGAGCGCCGATAGGATCGTTGTCGCGCGCATCTTTGCTGATTGATTTCTCCACCGGTTATGTGTAGGACCCCTTCTGAAAGGTACGCCTGGGGAGAATGGCGCTGGGTGAGGTATGTTGAGGTGCAAATGCGGCGAGGAATTGTCAGATGGAGGTAGGATGCTGGAGGGGGGGAAGTTCTATGGAGCTCTGCTGGGTTGAAGGTCGCCCGGGGTAAGGTCGGGAGAACACCTGTACCCCAGATACCATCTTTTAATCAGCCCCAAAATAATCACCAACCTGCCAGCTCTGGAAGCTTCTTTTGATTCAAAAAGTATTGCATTTTTTGATGCAAGTTGATGTACCATGTCATTGAATTTTGATCGCACATGAATATTGATTCATTCAGAACAGTGTGGTATTCATTACCGCTATCACTCATGACCATTCAAAACATCCCACCTTTCCAAACGCCGGTTTGCCATGCCTCTCTGGCAGCAGTGATGCCCACCCGTTTTTAACAAAATGAAATCGACAAACAAAGATTTACCTTTGAAACTCTCTTGGTGGCCGTTATGAGGGTTGCGATGGCCCTGCTTCATCCCCATGCGGAGACTTGGCCGGGCTCTCTTCGTCCGGCGAGTCTCCGCTGTCGTCAGCTCCTCCGTCTGAAATCTCTGTCGATCCATCATCTTCGACTTCGTCAGAATCTTCATCTTCTTCAATCGCTTCTGCGTCTTCCTCCTGCAAAGCATATCCTGGGCAGCGCTCAACGAGGCCGCGGTAATAAGCCACAAGGACTTCTGGGTTCGGGACGATCTTCCAGTCTACCCTGTATAGAAATTCAAGCTCCAGCAGCTTGAGCTCGGCGACTCTAACGCCTCCAACTCGTGCATATGTTGTATTGTTCCAAAACAGATCCGATAGACCCTTGGCCGCCACAGTCGCAGCCGTGATGAGAAAGCGATGGACAGTCAGCGTATTGATGGTGAACTCTGGGTATAATGCACAGAGCCGGTCAATATAGTAGACCATAGATAGCAGCAGCGGCGGGATGAGCGTCGCATGCTTTGCCAATCTATTGAGATATTCCAGTACCGAAATGCTTGGGGCGGTTCTGAATACAGATTAGTGAGCGCTGCTATATCAGGGGTGGAGGCTAGGCAAGAAGGCTTTTTCTCACCTTGAGTGGAAGCGAGTCAGGCTTCCAGAACGGAGAGCCAGAGCATCGTTGGTCTCTATCAACTCTGAAAGCATGTGGGATATGAGTACAACCATATCCTCGGTGCTACACAGCTCATATCGCTGGGGCAGGATTTTCGGCGGGCCAGCCGTGGGCTTTGGGCGCTTAGCCGCGCTGCTCGACGACTCGCCCGCTGCTGATGCGCTCGCCTGCGCTTGCGCGACAGCAGGATCTTGAGAGTTTCGACGTTTTCCGGGGGATGCGGTGGTCGTCGACGACTCGCGAATGACGGGTGCCACGGCGGGCTGGGGTTGTGATTGTATTTCTGTTTGGGGTCGCTGATGGGGTTCTGGTTGCGGTTGCGGCGCGGATGGGTCTATGGGTTGAGGGCGCGGCGTCGGCGGGGGTTCGACAGGCGTCGCAGGCACGGTAGTAGATGTGCGCGAGGTGGTGGCATCTTGTGCCTTTTGGGTGGAAGACTCCATGGGAGAATACTGGGTGCCGGCGTCGACGGCTACATATTGTCGTGGGCGTGGTTGAGAGGAAGGTGAGGTCATTGAGGCTGCGGACGGAGAAGACCTTGATGCAGAGTGCCGCCGCGGCAAAGGGGCCGAAAGCCGGGCAGGAGACGAGTGCGGGGAGGATCGCGTAGGGGCATAGTGGAAGCTATTGGGCGAAGCATTGGCGGAGCTGGCGACGATGGGAGATGTTGTCAACATGGTCCCGGGCGCATCGTGGGATTTCGAGGACAACAGAACGAGCGGATCGGACGTGATTGCCAGAAGTTGGAGCTGAAGTGGCGGGACAAGGTGAACAAGGTGAGTGTAGTGTAAGGTAGGTAGGCACCCCGAAGGTAAGTTAGGTAGGTAATAGCAAGTGTGAGGTGTAGTTGTTGGCGGTAGCGGTTCGGCGGTCAGTAGGGTAGGTTCAGATTTGCAGATTGCCAGACCCCAAAATCAGATAGGCCACACACGGTCGAAAAAACCGGGATGAGGAGTGGAGGGGCTCGGTTTGCCGACGCCGTGTGGTGGTGGTGCGCGTGGGATAAGGTATTAGGCGATGAGGATGGCTAGGCTGGGGAGGGGGGAACTGAGGTGGATTGGCGCTACAGCTGTCCAATATTGGCAAGTCACCCCCTATGATACGGCGGCTGCTGGTAGGAGTCGTCTAGACGGTAGGTCGGCACCAGTTCCAGTAAGGTAGCGGTAGCAGTGTTAGCCCGTATCAATATCAGCAATGGAAGCGAGTGAACAGGAGGACGGTCACGAGAGAGGAAAAAAAGAGTGGACGGTTGATGAAGGCATCCAATGTGCGAGGCAAGAGCCCCTGGGCAATCGCACCTTCCGTCCTGGCTGCCCAGGATAAAGTAAGTAAATGGTCCGTACCTTAGGTAGTTACGTACCTTGCTAAGATACCCAGTCGCCAACCAGTGGGATAGCCTGGGCTGCCAATGAGGTGCCAAGGACTTGGGACGTGGAGGGACGCGAATCTGATTTTCTGCGGTCTCGGCACCAAGCCAAGCAAACCACGCTTGCGCCGGTGAGCCAGTCGTCTGTTGTGGGTTAGTGGGGAAGAGTCTTGACATCTGTACGTGAGCGAAAACGTGCTTTTCTGATTGTCACTGATTTCTCCCAATCTCGTCGTACTTGTCGCCCATGTTCCGTACCTTCCATTATACAGTATACGGAGTACCTACGTATCCGTAAGGTAAGGAACACTTACAGTTCTTCATGACAAAGTACCCCAGCCCCGGCTCCAGACAGAACGTAACGCCAGGGGATGGGCTTGAACGTGTTTCCGAGCGGTCATCACAAACTGGTAGAGCACATGGCCTTGCAGAGCTTTCTCCTGGCCCTGCGTGCCCTGGAAGCCGCTCATTGCGCCATCTCGTCCACCTCGTCTTGAGGCCCTCCCGTCGCTGATTCAATGTCAAAGGTGGGCCGCTCTTCTGCTTCGGGACACCGAGCCATGCCACTAACGCTGCTCTGGGCCCGGCGCTGCAACCCTTCTACGGCTACTCAGGGCCGCTACGGCCCTCCCACAATAATGCCAACAGGGACCTGGCCGGTTACGATTTGTAGCCTGGGGCCGGAGGCGCCGTCGAGTCTAGGCGGCTCAAATTTTTCGACGGATATGCGGGTTCAGATTATCATTTACGGAGGAACCAGTGGACCTTGAATCAAGCACACGCTTAGGTTCGGAGCGCGGACAATGGAGTTTTGGCGCCGACATGTTCCACCAAGGGATCCAGCATGCTCCGCGACAACCTCTCCGGGCCTTTATCATCTTGTGTACCGTGTAGGAAGTTGCCCGTATGGGACTGTCCGCCGTTACGGTCTGCGGCCAGCTGCTACTGCGGGGGTTTTTTTTTTTTACTTCTTATCATGTATCTGTACCCCCCTCGTCGTTGAAATCTCCGTCATAAGTCGTCCAATCGTCAGATGTCATTTATTATCTTACGCCTGATACCCCTCATCTCACGATCGAGCCGCTATCTTGGTCAGATCGCCAGTGTCTCGCGCTTCAATCAAATAATCCGCAGGTGCTCAGCATTGTGAACTAGGCAGTGCGTATCCTAATTAATGTCAGCGACGTATTGTGTATCGCGGAGGAACGTCCCCGTGCTTCACGGAGAAAATCGGCTTTTGCAAATAAAGGGACTGACCTTGGCCACATAAGGCCCCAAGTCACCCTCAAGGTTGACCTACCTATGCCCCAAGAAACATGGGCATCGGCCTGTCATGAGGCACAAGGCATAGCTTAACCATATAGGTACCCAAGCAAGTCGCCAACTCGTCCTACCCTTTGAACACTTTCCAATTGCGCAGTTAAAGCGTGCTTGGTTTGGGCTTGGAAATCAGTTGTACAAAAAGGGAAGTGACGAACGGTTTCCAAACGTATTTCTCTAATGCTTATAGCTGAGAAAGCAATATTGATGCAGGTTGAAAGTACAGCCGACTCGGAACATCATTGTCTTCAGCAGGTGGACAAAGGACTTATGCCGATTCGCTGCATTTGTCCAAGGTCGTTGGAAAGTCATCTAGCTCTAGATAGATGCTCACCGGATCTTTGCCGGCCTGTTACTGCCCATTCCCAAGAATGGTAAAAAAAAGTTTACCACACCCCTTCATCACTCAACTCTAGACATATCTTGGTCCAAACAATGAGGGCCTCTATGCGGTGCGGGATTACTTTCCAAACCGTCAATTCGATCCTTAAGTCACAAAGAAATGTCTCATCGACTGGATCTCCGGAGGAAGGTTTGTCAGTCTCATGTTTTCTCTCCGTGATGGTAGGAGCTGGATGCCCCCAAATCAGATTAACTTCATCCAGGTGGCAAGCGCTTCTGTTTCGGGAAGTTTACCATGTGTAAGCCACACCATGTGGGGTATCGACATGGTGGAAGGAGACAACTAAGCCGTGTTACAATCAGCCATGCTGCGGGGGATGATCAAGGTTTCAACTCCCTATCCGTACTTCGGTATCTCATTCTTTTTTTCTTCACTACTCACAAAACCAGTTAGAACAAATCCCTTTGGATGGAAGAATCATTGATATTTGAAACACTCATGTTATTCTGCTGCTTATTGTTTCCGAGTGGGTGAACCAAAGAGCATGAAACCTCCTTCAGCGTTCACAATGAAGACAGCAGGACCGTTCATTGCTAAAGAATCGCAAGAACACGGGCAAGCACCAGCACAGCACAGGCTTCCGCACTGACGCTTAAGGGTGACCCAAGCTCCAGCTAGCATGTGAGAATCCTGAAAACGGCTGGTAGCGATAAGAGAAATGCACGTGCCATACCCCAGTGCCAACGCCCGATAATCACCCAGTCTCCCAGACCACCGGCCCTGTCTTGAGGTGATCAACCGCGATCCATCCTGCGAACGACATCCTGGTCTTCTGTCGATGGACATCCGATTTTCTAACCCAAGCTCTCGACAACTTTGGAACTCATCCACAGCGTACAGCAACTTATTAACGATACATGCATTAGAAAATAATTTGTTGTCCTTCCGACTCTCCGCATAGCTTGATCCACGTTTGCCTGACCGTCCTCCGGTTCGTAGGGACCTGGGGCTCTGACGCAACCTCCGTCGCCGCAGCAGCACCACTCTGTTCTCGCAAGTATACGACGCGCTGGCCGACAACAATAACACATAGCCGAGCTCCTCAACGAATCGAACCGACTTTCATCATGACACGCACGTCGAATCCACCAATCCTCTCGCAGCTCCAGAGCGCAAGGAGCTATACCGAACAGACGAGCGCTCTGCGGGCTCTCAAGAACGATGTTGTCGGGCACGCACAGAAGAAGGAGATATGGGCTGAGCTAGGCGCACTGGAACCCATCGTCAAGATACTCAATGCTTCTCGGTCTCCGGCCAAGGTCAACGGCAAAGATACCCGCCCGAGCTCCAACTCTCGGTGGTTGAACGAGGAAGAAACAGTGAGGCTTCAGGCTCTACAATTGTTGGCAAGCTTTGCCAATGGTAGGACTCACTCTCTCCAGCTTTTTGGTCACTTCTCAAACTAACTTTGGCATCTCCAGGGGGCACTGCTTTCGTCGAGCCACTCCTAGCTGCGAGCGCGCTGCCAGCCGTGTTGGACAATGTGTGTCCAACTACAAACGCTCCTTTGCTCGTCACTACGGCACTACGCGTCCTCCTCAACATCATCGAAGCTTCCACTTTGTCAACTACGAGTTCGCCAATAGACATGCAAGCGTTAGCAGAGGCCATCTTCGCATCCGAACATATCGATTCTTTCAATAGCATACTTTCCAGCACCGCAACCGCGTCCGAGCAACAAATTCAAGTACCTTTAGTGGCGAGAATTATAAGCCATTTGTGTCGAGATGAGAAGCACCAACTGGCCATGGCAAATCAAGGAGTCATTGACTCTCTCGCAACTCGGTTGGCAAGCATTGCAGTTGCTGAAGGACATGTTATTCCCTACGCCGAAGTGTTCGGTCGGGTGGATCGGATGTCGGACTTCATTCCGGAACCAGCACCGTCTAGCTCAGCTTTGGCTTCGATCTTGGAGGCATTGACTGTCATCATCTCGGACTCTCGCTTCAGGGCCTGCATGTTGTTATGCTCGCCGGCTATCATGGCCATCTTCCCTGCTCTGAAATTCAACCCGTCCAAGGAAGTCCGAGCGCCTTGGAACTCCCTAGAGGTTAGCGGTCTCGGATACGCGCGCCAGCAGAACCTCAGCGCTCTGGACTATCTACTACCCGCAATCCCTATACATCAAGGCCGGATCCCTGGTTCGCAGCAGTCACACTTTCCTGCTCTGGGTTCGTCGGAGGCGCGGGAGCGGGCTCGTTCGGCCGCAAGCAAATACAGCTCTACGGCTTCCGTTTGGGAGACTTCCCGGTTCGAGTTGTTCGGAAACGAGACAGAGCCGGAAGAAGAACAGGAGACTCCTCTGATACCGTGGCTGATACTCTTGGTCAGATCGCGACAGGGTCTGGATCGGCTGATGGCTGCCAATCTCCTCACTTCACTTTTTAGGTCTGGGTTTGGCAGCAAGTATCTGAGAGAGACCAGCCTCTGCCTTCTAGTTGTTCCTGTCCTTATGGAGATGCTCGAACACCTTCAGGCAGCACCGCCAGTGGTGAAGTCTCCCCTGGTTGATGCAGACGCGGCGCTCAAATGGACGATACTGGAGCGCACGCCAGCCATCCTTGCCCGAATAATCACAGACAGCGAGCCGCTTCAAAAGGCTGCTTTTGACTGCGGTGCCGTCAAATGTTTCAGCAAGCTCCTCAAAGACGCATATGAGCCAATTCCACCATCGGCTTACGCTAAGGTATGGTCACCACAGGCCGACACTACGATGGAGACCGAAAGCACCCCTCCTTCTCGCGCTCTGGGATCAGAAGGACAACCGCCGCTCCTAGCTCACAGGGTGCGGATGCGAGAAAGTGCACTCAAGGCGATAGGGGCTCTGGCGGCCGGCAAGGACGAATATCGTAAGGCTTTCGTTGTGGAGGACGTCGTTGCTCACATTGTGCAATCATTATCACCCACGCCCGGCAAGCCGTCAAATCCCAAGGATCGCAGCAAACCAAATGAACCAGATGGGCCAATCCGTGACGGATCCGCGTCTGACCACAATTCTGGTTATGGTAGTAACCCGCTGTCGGTCTTGATCGCGGGCTGCCACGCTGTGAGAATGCTGTCTCGGTCAGTGAGTATCCTCAGGACATCTCTGGTTGACTATGCTGTGGCCGTGCCTCTATTCCGGTTCCTCAGGCACCCTGACGTGGATGTCCAAGTTGCTGCCACTGCTGCGATTTGCAACTTGGTCACCGAAGTCAGCCCCATGAGAGAGGTAAGTGCAACCCCTGAATTCGCCTCTGTAAATGTGAACTATGCTAACCATCTCAGCTCCTGGCCGACCGGGGTGTGATGAAAATACTGTGTGAGCATGCGCATTCTCTCAATGCGGCACTGCGTCTTAACGCTCTCTGGGCACTGAAGCATTTCGTACATGCGGTTGACACCGAAACCAAGAGGCATTGTCTGGAAGAGCTTGAGTCTGGATGGCTTGTGCAGCTTATTTGTGACGATACTGAAGACGATGCTCTGTTCCTTGCTAGGTCTAAGCTGGACAAGCAGAATGCCGTTGACACTGGAGACGATTTGGATGGCGATGTCGAGATGGATCAGGCTGATCCGTTATCCAAATCGTGGTTGGGTTCACAGGACGCAGAAGGCAAACGATCGGTCAAGTTACGTCAAACCGAGGCAAAATTGGCAGCTCTTCGCGAGGCCGAAATCAATCCTTTGCGGAAAGCCCGTAATGACGACCTTGCCATTCAGGAGCAGGGCCTCGACTTCATAAGGAATTTGATCGGGGCAGGTGCATCTGGACCACAACCTGATGCGTCAAGCGATACCACGGAGATGATTGAGTACCTTTTCAACGAGTTGGGGCAGGACAGATTTTTTGATATCCTAGCCAGGAAGCTCCAGGCCAAGGTACTTCATCCAACGTCAAGACGGTCCACGGGTTCAGGACGAGAGGCTCGAGTCCTCTACCCTCAGGCCAAGATCATCGAGGCCGTTGTGTTCATCCTCGTTCACATGGCGGCGAGCATTCCGCGCCATCGACAACTGGTTATTGCACAAACAGACTTGCTCAAGCTGTTGGCAAATCACTTCAATAGCAAGGACAAAGAAGTCCGGGTTGCCCTTTGTCACTTGATCAGCAACCTCACGTGGCAGGACGACGACAATGATGCACGGGGATGCGCCCAGAGGGCGTACGAGCTGAAGAAGCTGGGCTTTCTCACCAAACTTGAGGGATTAGAAGACGACAGCGAATTAGACGTGCGAGAACGGGCCAAGAGTGCAGTGTGGCAGATGAAGCAGCCTGGCACATACTAGTATGATAAGGGGTCTCGCTGGGAATATCAGACGTTGTACCGGTTACTAGTCATGCATGAGCGTCAACAGAGGTCGATAAGGCTACGGTAGCGGACTTTGAGTCAATAGACGGAGAGGTAGGTGAAAGCACAGCGGTGTGCCGAGGTGATGGTAGTAGCGGATGCAACGTCAAGACAATTGTTTTGGAATGGCTGGGTTCGCATGCATGTACGATATAGATGTACATGGGGTTTAACGTAGCGTTACTGTACACGGTGAAAGAGTACATGATAAATGACGGAAAGGCATGTGTCGGCATTGGCAGTCAGGACTTTCAAATAGTTCGATGCTGAGGATCGATGTGTGTGAAGATATACATTGAGCTCCTATATCACTTGCGCGCGGGCCTCGTGTACCTCACCAGGCGCCAAAAGGTGGCTTGCGTCCTTACTTAAGTATCGCTGATAAGTACACTCAATGTTTTGCTTAAAATTAAAGAAGAACTGAGGGGGAAAAAAAGGAAGAAGAAAGGAGTTCATTCCCCTAGGGGGCTACATCTCTTAGTGCACTTGCTGTGAATTGAACTCGGGAACCCGTGAGCCTATCGTCGAGTAGGCTGTGGGCGTACTTGATTGCTGACCTGTTAACCATTTCCCTCACCCAGCCCAATTTGACCTGACCCCTGGACCTGGAAGGGCGCCTGCTGGTTGGTAGCGGGAATGGGATTGAGGGTGTATATGAGGGCTTTTGGTTGTGTGTTTTCTATAGACTGGATGAATGAACGGACTGGGTGCCTCTGGTCATGTGCTGCGGACGGAGCTGGGGGCTTTCTTTTGCCGGTACTGCAAGGTTCTTGGATTTCTTATATCTGGATTCCCTTGGCATCAATATTGAAAAAATCACATTATTCTACGATGAAAGGTATTCGTCTGGCGCTTCGGAACCGGCGGGTGGGATGTGAGGGTTCGTCTCTCATGTGGTCTGATCATCACATACTCTCTGATCACGAGGTCGAGAAGGATCTGGAGAATGGAGAGAGAAAACAGAGTTGGGGCCGCGGGAGGGATCCACCATTGTGCAGGGAAGCCGAAGACGGGTCACGATCGACAGCAGGGTCGTTAAGTGCGGGACAGGGGTAAATATGTGGTGCAAGAGAAAGAGACAGAGAGAGAGGGTGAGTGTGTAAGTGGTATGAAGCAGTCAGATGTATCATATGCCGCGACAAGATTATTGTTTTTCTTTGCAGCCCGCGCATCGAGGAATAACTAAGTAGGTATGTGATGGCACTACTGGCTGGTACCCTGCGACGAATCAAGGCCTGGAGGGAACCGAATGAGCGGGCTAGTCTTCGGTTCACTGAGACAGGATCGCGATATAATACTTTGCTCCAAGTCCGCGACAGCGTGGGATAGCTCCACGTTTCGAAATGATGACATGAGACTATACATCTTGACAGAAGCTCTGTGCTTTACAACATGACCTCTCACACGGCTGAGGTCTGGAGGGTGCGACTACGCGAGGCAATGGTTGGTTATACGGGCAATGCAACCGTGTAGAGTTTATTCCTCCAAAGGAAACACCGGCACTCCATCTGTAAGAAAATAAGTTCAATGAGGGGGAGCGCTTATTCTCGCCTGATGTAGGTAGGCAGGTATGTAGATCTAGGACCTCAGGCCAATTGACGGGCTCGCCGGTGTGATGTGATGCGTTTCTTCCTACCTATGAAGAGGTTTCTCCGTTTAGTCATCGGGACGGGGTGCAGTCGTGGGATTTTCCCGATGGTTCCGAGCGTCTGCCGGTTGGACTCCGGCCGGGGGCCCCGGAGCGCGAGGTCCTTTGGCTCCCATATATCAGGTGAGGTGATATTCCAGGGAATTGAAAACCAAGTGCCAGAGGCCATTACGTCAATACACTCGTTCCTCATTTGATCTCGAATCACTCCTGTCTCCATCCAATGCCGCAACCATGTGGGAGGTGAGCGTTTGCAAGGATTTGGTTGTTATTGATTCCAGGTGGGGAACGGCGAACGACGAACGGGGCGTCTGTGCATGCCGGCATTTGCTTCTTTGCCAGTCTCTAGATCCCAGCAATGCTCTGATCCATGGAACTTCATTCAATCGTCCTGTAGCACGGCTTAAGCAGAACGATACACGTCAGCTAAATTGATAACGAATCAACAGTGCATTCGCAGCTCAGAAATGTTGACGTTGTGGTGTCGTATGTGGCTTATGGTCAACGAAGGCTGACACTTTTTCCATGTGTTGGGTGACAGCTGGCCATCGACGAAGTGTATGGTATACTTGCTTGGTCTAGAACCCCGAAAGCCTTTGACTCCGTGAGACTTCTCCTCAGGTACACTTCTGAGTACGGACATATGCTGTGACACATTTCGGTGTAAGCGGCTCCGGCGCTCACATAACCTCAACACATTCTGACTCCACACTCGGCCCATCCTTCCCCACAGCAAACCACGTCGTTGCCTCTCCTCCTAGGTCAGGGAGGCAAGCAACACAGTACATAGAAGGGAAAACAAATCGACTACCTACTAGTCTCATCAAGTACCGGGGTGTTTCCCGGCAGCCCTGGGAGCGGACCTCTCGACTGCCACTTCCTTGGCGCATGCAGTTACATCCTGACTCAACCTTGCTTCGACTTGGCTGACTTCAAGACCAGGTCTCCTGACCGGAAGACTTTGTTGTTTCGAAGATGTTTCCTGCGATTCCCGACATCGACGGAACCTTCCATTGTTCAGTCACTGTGACTATCCCGCCCGTCCCATCCGACCTTGTCCATCACTGTTCGTTGGCCGGGAGGGAAGTATGGGTCCCTCCGGCATCTGAGCTGCAAGTCTTTCACATCGCCAAGGTCCACTTGTCGGCGGGCTCGGACTTGGAGGTAGCATCAATCACACAGCGTTGAAGCCGTGAGTTCGCATCATGGAACCGTCGAGTGGCATCTTGCTATCAACTTTCTGGGGAGTGGTAGTTGGGAATAGGAGTATAAGACATCCCTTTCGTCTCTTTTAACAACCCCTTTTCGATCACAGGCATCAAGCTCCCAAAATCTATTAACAGGCTTCCCCAGCTTGGATAACATCAAATTAACTACAATACCTCAATTTGCAAAAGGATTCTTTGCCAAACACCTATCAATACCAACTTCCGATCATAGCAAAACGCCGCCATGGGTTTGATCCTGCAGCGAGTCAACGAGGCACTTGACATCAATCCCACCCCCGGGATTGAGGAGCAACTAAGTGTCAACGGCTCCAACTGGCTGTGGACTTGTGTAGCCATCTACTCTGTCTTCTTCGTACGTACTCCTTACTGAACTTCTCCTGTGTTGTCTTCCTTTGCTGACCTTCATCACAGCTCGGCGTCTTCGCCCTCTCATGGAAACCTAGAGGCAACGAAAAGGTCTTCCACTACCTCCTGAGCATCGCCCTCCTAGTCGGCGCCATCACGTACTTCTCCAACGCCTCAAACCTCGGCTGGTCCATTGTGACCCAGGGCACGATCTCACGCTCAGGTGCCCCGCGACAAATCTTCTTTAACAAGTACATCAACTGGGTCGTCGCCTTCCCCATCGTCAATATCCTCCTGGGCCTCGTCGCCAACTCGTCCTGGGCCACCATCGTCTGGCACGTCTTTCTCTCCTGGGTCTGGGTCATCAGCTACCTCGTCTCGGCCTACACCCCGTCCGTCTACAAGTGGGGCTTCTTCGTCTTCGGCACCGTCGCCTACCTCGTCATGGCGGCGTCGACGTTCGCCGAGGGTAGTGTCGGGGCGAAGCGCGTGGGCACTCAAGGAGACTACTGGATCCTCGCCGGGTATTTCAACCTCCTCTGGCTTCTGTACCCGATTGCATTTGGTGTCTCTGAGGGTGGTAACACCATCGGTGTCACCCCTCACTTCATCTTCTTTGGTGTTCTGGACGTTCTCATGGTTCCCTGCGGCGCCGTCCTCTTCCTGCTGCTGTCCAGGAAGTGGGACTATAACGCCTTGAACCTCTACTTCACGCAATACGGCCGCGTTCCCCAGGGCGGACACTTCCCTGAGAAGTCGGCGGCTCCTGCCCCTGCTCCTGCTCCAGCTGCTGTCTGAGGTGCTCTCAAGCTTTGGAAACACACTATCTGGTGTCGGTTGATTGAAGTCTTCATCTCGGGAGACAGTTGATCAACAATTCGGATATGACAGACAACCTTGGCTTGACGCCATCCTGTTCTCAGCCTTGTACAGGCAATCAATGAGAGAAAGAAAGAGAAAATGGACCACAATCGTTTACACAAAAGCGCCGAAGGGATGCCCCCTCACATGAGAAACGCATGGGATCCGGATGGCGTACGGACAGGAAATACCCACATTCGTTTGAATCTTTTGACTGAGTTCAATCTGGCTGAGAGATGTTGATAATGTGTAATGGGGTAATCAGTTTGAACGAAACTTATAAGCTGCAAGTAATAGATCATTCTTTGAAATTGTGGCGTGGTTTTGAGGCAGTTCTTCCACTCTTCTCCTTACAGGCCAGTAAATTCAGTAATTCCGTGCGGAGTATTATTCTTTGAGGAATTCTTTTTAGATGTAATGCCTATTCACGTTCAAATTATGCTCGAGTCTCGTTCTCAGGACAGATTTCCTTGTAGGCATCGTCTCGCCTACAGCAAGTCAAGAAGTATTTGACGGCTGTTTCCGAAATTTCAAGATCTTTGAGGGTCTCTGATAACTCCCATATGCAAAGGCTCCATATGAGGTAATGTATATCCGCCTGAGTAGACATTCTTCGAAGAAGGGATATGGACGAGAACTGAGTTGAACTCCCACAATTAGTACCCCCCTCGAGATTTCGCTCGTGGCAGAGTACCTTAAGATCTATTCCCATGTCAAGCAAGACTTCAGCTTCTGCTTTCGAACTTACCCGGTCTTTTGTACCAGCAAATACTCTGTTCCTACAGGCAGCTTCCGGGCTAGGTTGAAGAGAGAGGATTCACTTCACCCCAAGATTCTCTCCCAAGGAAGCTGCCG